AAAAAAAAAAAAAAAAAAAAAAAAAAAAAAAAAAAAAAAAAAAAAAAAAAAAAAAAAAAAAAAAAAAAAAAAAACTCGAGAAGAAATTTACTTTTCATAAATTCTCCTGCTCGAAAGAGTATATTCTTACGGATCACAGTACTGCACGGCTTTTCCCCCCACTAGCATCCCTACTAAAGAGAAAAATCCTTGTCAAGAAAGCGGGTCCTGCATGAAGGGTGGCTTTGATTTGTATGACCGTTGACTATCTATCAAACCTTTTCTCCCCCCCTTTTGTTATTTTTCTTTTTTATTCTTCTCCCGCATTTTAATCTCCCAGGGGGAAGCCTTTGTCCGCATATGTGACAAGACATCATCAAACATCGGGTAGATGGGAGATCGACGCGGTTCCTCGCAGCCGTTGATGCTTCTTCAAATCACACGTGGCGCTAGTCGGGATCTTCATGCATGAGACCATTACGTTCGGCAGTCTTTAAAAGTTCCGCCTGGCGAGAGACTGGTCAGAAATACATGGCTAGACAGGTAGCTCCCGAGTACCACCTGTGGTCGTTGGATCAGGCGAACACGGAGATTTACCAACAGCCGACGATCACTGCAACCTTGTACAGAGGTTACGAGTAGGCCTGGTCTGAAAATCGGAGGAACGACACGTTGGGCAGTTGGAGCGGGTAATGGGCTCCAATCAAGTCGAGTGTCTTTGATTTATTTATTTTCCAATGATTATTGGGACAAAAGAAAGGAGCTCCACGTCTCAGCCTCCGTGCGACTTCCCATCCGGTTTTGAAGGGCTGAAAGTCGAGCTGAGACTTAGAATTCAGACGTGCATTGAGAATACTATTTGACGCGCTAAACCTCCGTAGTGGAAACATATCAATATCCCGAGAATTAGATCATCAGTTGAACGTTAGAGAAAATTGCTTGGCAAATGTAGATTGGGAACCTCTTTGGGAAAGAGATTGACATATCAGGGTTGTCCAAGGGAGCAACGTCGCAGAGGTCGCAATCAAGTTCGCCGATCTGTGTCAAAGGGGCTCATGTAACACTATTTTCCGGCACACCCTTGTGACATCTCCCAAGGCACATCGCAGAGGCAGATCAAACGACCAGGGGGCAAAATCGATACAAGGTTTGGGCTTCGGGTTACTCCAGGATCGAATTCTCCAGAAGACCCCACAGGTGAAACCCAATAGTGGACACCTTTCGTTTTGATCGCTTCCGAAGGACTTCGGAAGCCGACCATTGGGCAAAACCCTCGGTATTGCCTTTTAACCTCGCCAGACTCAATGTGTAACTAGTGTAGTCCCCAGTCTGTGACAAGAGGGGCCCGGCTGCCTGGAGCATTTTGATTAAATCGAATTTATCACGCAGAACTGCATACGAATAAAAATACATTACCGTCATGCTTGACCAAGTATAGAGGTACGAAGAATGGTGTACAGTTGTCTTCAAATAGCAACGTGCAACTGAGATGAAAGTGAAGTCAAAATGAGAATTTTATTGGCTCGACGCGGCAGTTGGTCTGGCGAGATAGGTACCTGGGCACTCGTATATCTACAAGTAAAATCCCAGTTAAATTGTATGTATGTAGTATAAGTACCAGAGGCCCTGGCGCGCAAATCCCGAGTGAAGCAAGCGATGGTGCGACATTGCCCCGGTCATATAGGTGGGGTGGAGCCAGGTCAATCCACATGCAGGACAAGTCTAATTCATTGCGATGACACATAGCTAGGGATGTACCTGCTTGTAGTACACGCAAATGCAATTGCATATTGGTGCCTGGATAGCTGAAGTTGTTGGAACAAACGGAAAAACGTAAAGTTTGTGCCCAACAGAGGACCGGTATCTCCTCCCTTCTCTAAGTATAGTAAACCGGGTTCAAGGCTGTAGCCCAATGAAAATGCTCAAGTCGACACTATGTGGAGACGTCGCTCTGTACTCTTATCGAATCGTAAGTCGATCGGGTTGTGGGGGGGGGCAGCAAAGAGGGTAGACCCAATACGGAGATTGTACTTTGTACGGAGTACTCCGTACTCCGCAGCTTGTTGAGTGTTCTGTGGTTTCAACGGTACCGACCTGATATTCAGAGGCTATTACCCCGTAGTGTGCCTTGACCTCCAGCACTCGATCGCAGCTGGCATTGCACTATCGAACGGCGCAATATTCAATAGTTCGGCTTGGGCCGAGCTCGGACCCGAATCACGTGGCGGAGCTATCTCCTTTCGGCACTAGCGTTCCCGATTGATTTCCGAATGACTAAGCCGGCTATTTGGACCGGGGAAGAATACGTACCGTGGGACCCCCAAGCCCCTAGCAACGCGGCTAAGCCTATTTAGGTAGCGGAAAAACAGTCCTTCCTTTTTTTTCTTTGTCCCGTGATCGTGAGACCGAAACCTGAGACACAACCCCCCTCGCATGCCAGACTCTCACAGGGGTGAGCCAGACCTCCAGCACTCGCTTCCAGGGGTCTATCCAAGATAAACAGTGTAGCTGGGGTGCAGAAGAAGCCACGCTGCCGTCGGGACTTGAAATACCGTCATTGCCTGCGTCCCACCCCGTCGTTGTGGAGACCAGCCGTCCACTCTTGACCTTTGCGACTAACCCCACCACAACTGGCAATCCATCTGTTTGTTATCGCTCAACTCAACACCAAGTGACTAGACAGACATCATGGGCTTCGGTCAGTTTGATACGATATGCGAGAAAGCGCTGGTGCCGTTGTGTTCCCTGGTCGGCCCGTCGTCCACGATCTCTGGATCCACGGGCCTGATATCCAATTGCTATGCGAGGAACATTGAAGTCGCAAATACCATCATTTTCGAAGGTGCTGCATCTTTCATGCATATCTTGGCACTCAGCATGACAGTCATCATGATCCTGCATGTTCGGTCCAAATTTACTGCAGTCGGTTTGTCGCCTCGTCCAGCTGGAATCCGTTTCGATTGACTGACTCTCAGCAGGCCGCAAGGAAATCATTACATTCTTCTACATCTACCTAGCACTGACCATCTTTTCACTCATCATTGATGCTGGTGTCGTCCCTCCAGGAACGGGGCCATTCCCGTACTTTGTAGCTGTCCAGAACGGTCTGGTCTCAGCGCTCTGCACCTGTCTCCTCGTCAATGGCTTTGTCGGCTTCCAGCTTTACGAAGACGGCACAGCTCTTTCAGTCTGGTTGATTCGAGTTCCTTCTGCGAGCATGTTCGCGCTATCGTTCGTGATCTCGTTGGCAACTTTCAAGTCATGGGGCTCCATGGGCCCTCAGAACACCACAGGCTTGTTCGTTGTGCTCTACATCCTTAACGCAATCTGCATCGCGGTGTATCTAGTTATGCAGATCCTTCTTGTTGCAAACACATTAGATGATCGCTGGCCGCTCGGGCACATCTCATTCGGCGTGCTGGTCTTCATCATTGGGCAGGTCCTTCTGTACCAATTCAGTGATGTGATCTGCAACAATGTTCAGCATTATCTGGATGGTCTTTTCTTCGCTACTTTTTGCAATCTACTGGCTGTCATGATGATCTACAAGGTACGTCAATGTTTCACGTTTATGCTTGGTGTGGGTCTAACGGTTCTTAGTTTTGGGATTCAATTACCAAGGAAGATCTTGAATTCTCTGTTGGTGTCAAACCAAACACCTGGGACATCAAGGAGCAATTGCCTGAAGAGGAACGCCGGGCGACTGTTTACCCAGACAACAACTCTGAGTACGCAGGCAGCATGTACCACCACCGGTCGTCGAACTACGGCCATCATAATTACTAAACGTCTGCTTTTTTCCAAATTATCACGGCCTTTCATTTCTCTCTTTTCCGCGCTGTACATGTGACCATTGACTTCATGATATCTTATTCACTTTTTTTTTTGTCTCATATCTTACTGGGCATTGTTTCGGGCATGGAAATTACATAATCACAGCACAATCTCAACCTTGGAACCTTAGCCTTTAGCATCGGAGCACGGTTCATAACGATCTTCCCCTGTTTCTCCGCTCGTCCGATCGAGCGATGGGGTGTCTAAGATGGGAAGTCCTCTGCGTAGTCGCGGCGGCCCCATTTCCCTATAATGTAATTGAGCATTTGGAAGGCTCGGAAATTGCCCGTTCGCCAATTTGCATCGGATTCGTGATGCCTGCATCCTGTACTCGTACATACAAAGGATCCTCGAGCTCTTTTCCGCAATGTGCAAAGAGAAAATTCTGTCATAGCCTCAGAGCCAATCAGTCCCGAGTCAGCCCGGGATCGAGTCAGAAAACGGTGAATTGATTGAGACCTGGACGAATAAGCGCCCTCCATCTTTGATACGATGCACTCGTACCCCCATCGAGGACCCTCCAGGGTACATTCACCAGAAGCTGCGGGAATTGATTAAATATGCAGCAAACCAGGAAGTGTACGAGTAACCATGTTCGCTTCCCTGTCATATTTTCAGCCATGATAGGCGGGCCGAGCAAAGAGGCGGACCGAGCAAACCCCGAGCCCATCTCTTTCGGAGCCACGTCACGTCAATTCAAGGCTAGAATAACTACTCGTACTCGTAGAAAAGGCGATCGTCGATAGAGTGAGACATGCGGAAGGATCAGCGCTGCCGCGTTCCCCAACGAAGGAAGAGCCCACAAAGGCGATCTCGGGCATGATGCTCAGAATGGCAGAGCAACGCGAAAACGACGGCTATGCCGTTTGCTAGATGGTTTGGGAACGATGAAGCGGCTGGCTGGGAGTCGTTGATGGGTGAAACCATGATTGATTTCACGATAGCCGGTATTCTGCACTTGCCATTCGTGGGATTCTGACGTGCGACGCACGCCGACTGAAGTCTAAGTAAGTCTTGTGCCGATCAGGGGAGGGGTCCCGTAGTTTTATCGTAGAACCTTCCACAAACGCCGAAATCGAGATGACCAGGCTGAATTGTGGAGCGGCATGTCTGTTGAAACCGGTACTTGTGATCTCAATCAACGACCACGACATCATCCCCATCCATGAACTCCCCGGGTGATTTTTTGGGTGTATGCTGTGTATCTGGTGGCTGACTGTCTTCCTTGGCTTGCTCCGTGGCTGACTCGTACCAGCCCATGTCTACCGACCTGACGAGTGCCGCACATGCTTCACTCAGCATCTCAAAAAACGCAGGGTTTTGTTTAGACAGAAACATGGTAGTGTGGGCATTGGTCTCGTCGGTGGCCTGGTCATTGACAGCTTTATTCCACAACAGTCCCGGGCTTTGCGATTCTCTGCCATCCTCCACTTCTTTCGGCAATGAACAGAACGTCCGGTTCTTTGCCCTGATAATTTTTTGGCTGAAAGATGTCTGGCTTGCTGATGTGTTCTCCACCAGAGACGTTGCTCCTTTCCCAAGACATGTGTAAAAGTTGACACACCCGATTCCACGCTCCCCCTTTACCTTTGACAGACGCTCGGTGCGCTGATGAAGCTCCGATGTGCGTGCGAGACACCCGACAAACTCCAAATGCGACGACACCCACCCAAATCCTTCGGTTAGCTTCTGTCTTTGGGTATACATGGCTGCGCCGCCAGCGGCAACGGCACCGGCCGCTCCTGCAAACATGGCGTACTTTCCCCATTTTTGCCAGGGGGGTGTTGCTGCGGCGTCAGATGGGGACGGCAGTGGTTTGGAAGACGCTTTAGGGGCGGCAGCGGCAGCCCCTTTGTCCGAGCCAGTGCCTTTGCCGTAACCGAAAAGTCCTGCAACCTCGGAAACGGTGTTGTACGCGGTGGCTGCATTGCGGTAGTGTCCTTCGGCACCATACGACACGACCCCAGGAGCTATTCCGAGAAATGGAGTGTCAAATGCAAGTACGCCTTGAATGTGGGGGAACATGAACGTTCCCGGCTCCACGATAGACTCGGTGCCTGCTGTTGACTGCATATCCGAAGTAGGATTCCGGGGTATTGGTTGCTCTGCTGCCAACATAAGCAAAGCATCTGCTCCTACTATTCCTCCCATTGAGTGACCGATGAGAACGACATGGACAGAGGGGTCAACGGTAGGTGATGCTGTATGATTGGCAACCTCCAAATCGATCACAACATCTTGTAGCCTTCATTCGTAGTTTCAATCAGCAACATGAATCTTCATTCTGGAGATACAGTTGATCTCACCAATCTCGAAGCCTCGCAACGCATTCCTTCAAGTCACCTTTGGTCTCATACTTGGGGTAGACAGCCGTGACTACCTCGATCGCGGGCAATGCTCTGCTAGCTAACACGCGCAAGTGCTCGGGAAATGTTCCAAAGGTATCATCACCACCCTATGGCATGTTCAGTTAATTTGTGCTCCAAGCTTGTGAGATTCTCCTGCATCGGAATTTGGGAGGTTTTGCGGGGAACCAGTCAGCATGCACAACGGTCGTACCTTGAATCCGTGGATAAAAACGAGCAACAGTGTTTTCCTCATATTGAGATGTGTTGGGGGGCATAAACCGTCATAGGTCAATCCGGGATCAATTCATTGAAGCGAAGAGCGAGAGAAAGCTAAGAAACATTGAGGTTCCTCGGCAGAGTCCCGAGGTCCCAGGGCTGAAGATCACCTTACGTCATATGATCACGTGGTCCAGAACTATGTACCTCCTCGGGAGATACTATGCTAATGACTCTTAGAATCCTCTCAAATTCTGGAGTTTCGATCATGCCCAAGTGGGTAGCTGATGTTTTCGACTACATCCTTGGGAAAGTTTTCCAAGGGTTCTGACGTTCTCTTGACCAAAATCCATGGATGAGGCTAGATGCCAGCTCTAGAGGAATTTCGAGGTTTGCAATGCAAATAAATCCAAAATGTCTCGCAAATTAACGCTGCATTCATACTTGAAAACTCCAATCTGATGCCAATATACCCAAGCCTATCTCGTTCCAACGCCGCTGTTCAGACATTGCCTTCAATTTTATAGCTGTGCCTTGGAAAAAGTACCAAAATTACCGTCTGGGTTGCATGTTAGGCGATACCCCCCAAGGTGGTACATTCAATTGCATGCCTGCACGGCAGACTTTTCAACGGGATTGTCCGCTGGTCGGGGTGCGCAGGGCTCCTTGGAGTCTGGTGGTGGAACAGTCGTTCCGGGGGCTGTGCTGACAAGACCTTTGGACACAGCAAAGCAAGAGGAGCGGTCTTGGTCAAGGTTTTCGCCGTAAAATTCGTCTAGAATAGGGTGGAGCATTACCGTTTGCTTGTGGATGGTGACAACAGAGTTTGTAGGGACGGACACCCAATTGTCTGCGGAAATCAGTAATTTGTTTCAAGAAAACCTTTCAGAATGACACTCACGTCTTTCGAAAGTAATAGGCTCACTGGCCACGAGAACAATATCGGCCCCTTTATCGTGCCGTTCCATCTTGAAGTGTCCTTTGGTTTCACCTTCTTTCCACTTGGTGCCAGAAGAGAAGTACAAACTGGCAGGCTCGTCTGTTTTGCTGCTTATATACCGAGTACACACAACGGTATGTCCATCTGTCACAGCAAAGTTCATGAGGGAGCGAGTTTCGAGCCCGGGAACCTTATGTTTCTCGGGGATTTCTTTAACAAGCTCATTGATCCTCGCGATCGTTTTCATCAAGACACGGCGAAGAAGTGCCTGTCCGAAACCCTCTGGGCCGGGGTCGGAGCTGGGATCCACTCCTTCTTGCTCAAGCAAATGGAGGAACAAAGCGAAAGCCCATTCACTGTCCGTTCCTCCTTTCACACCCAGGTACCATTTGTCGGCAAGAGAGCTTCCCAGAGGACGCTTGATATGGTTCCATGCGCCGATGCCACCATTGTGCATCCACATAAGAGATTGGTGCTGGAATGGGTGGCAGTTGTTCTCAGCGAGTGCACCTTCAGTTGTTGCCCGCACGTGTGCGAAAACAAGATTCGAGCATGTCTTTGCGGCAAGTCGCTCTAGATTGTCGCAATTCCAGGCAGGCAACGTTGAAGTAAAGATACACGGCTCTGGTCCGAGTTTGGGATCTGTGTAGAATCCCACTCCGAAGCCATCGCCATTGACAGGCCGGCGATTATCCTATAGTCATGTTAACTGGTTCCAAGCTGCTACCATGTTGGTCGACTTTGCTACATACTAGGCGCAGACGAGAGTCATAAGATTGAGTGAGAATCGAATGACTCGGCTCAGTGACTAGCTTGCTGAGGCGAATCTCATTTCGCCCTTTGTAGATCTGATTCACAGCATTAGTTTCTGTGCGTGAAGCGTCATGGGATTGATCGTACGAGGAAGCGACACATAGCTGGGTTGAATAGGACAAAAGGTGCCTTTGAATGCCAATTCCAACCTCACTGGATATCCAGAGTCTGAAGAGTTGAAGTGTATTTGTGCGCCGTCTGTCCAAATCGGAAGGGAACGTATTGATTGAGAGTATCAATAGAGCCTAAGGTTGAATTCGTGAGGTCGGGGCAGAAGAGTCACCGATCGTGTTGGGAATCGGTGAGATGCCCAATTGTATCAACCACACTACAACCGTTGGACAGCAGCAGTCTTTGGAATCAAGAATAAGAATTCGAACACAAATTAAAACAAAGGAGAAACGAATTTACCTAAACACTTTTGAATTGGAGGATCAGTCACTTCCCTTGCACAGCACGTCATACCGCACGTGACGATAGCTAAGTACGGGACGCAAAGCGGCGACATTGCGCAAGTCACGGGAGCTCTGTTATCCTTGATGTCAGTGATCCGGCAATCTACATGATCACAACTTTTTTTTTTAAACTTGCTTGTTGAATGCCATCACAACAATCATGAGTGGGAGAATCCTCTCCCATAGGCTCGGTCCGCTATTGCGGAACGGGCACCTAGCTCGCCATGTCCATAATGCAGGGTCAAGGACCGGTGGCCTGCTACGCGCAAACAGTGGCGCTGCTCTCCGAGGACGCGCTTGGCCAGTAGGCTCGAATTCGATACACAATGTCCCAGCAGTCCGATCGATCTCTTTTGCCCGAATGCTCCCAAAGCTGGCCATGAAACTGGTCAGGATCCCGGCCATGTTCGGCGGTGCAACTGTCGCGGGGTTGGCATACTTCCAATACCAAGCAACCCGTATGTTTCCCATGGATTGAGCTGACCGCAAATACTTGTGTGCTAATGATATTCGAAGAGGCCGGTAATTATGCGATGGATATTTTCAAACAAGCTTCGGATACCGCGGGAAATACAGCATCGACTTTGTTCCAAGGACTGCAAGATGCTGCCGAGCAGACACAACGGGGGTGGAACAAGACAACTGAAGACATCGAGGTTCCAGAATGGCTACAAAAGATCCTCCGCATCGACGAGGAGTCTGAATCCAGAAAGGGTGGTTCTCCTGGTGGAGGCAAGGAACCGAAACAAAATCGGGCTGGGGCCGGCGCTGCTGCCGCCGCTACTACAACGGCATTCGGTTACGACCAGAGTGACGAAGAAGATAGACGCCTGGAAAGAGACGCTGCGGAGGATGACCAGATGATGCTTCTCACACGCAAAATGATTGAGATTCGGAATATTCTCCAGACAATCGGCCAGTCCAGCACCCTCACGCTTCCGTCAATTGTCGTGATCGGTTCCCAATCCTCCGGCAAAAGTTCAGTTCTTGAAGCCATTGTCGGCCATGAGTTCCTGCCCAAAGGATCAAACATGGTGACGCGGCGACCTATCGAACTCACTTTGGTCAACACCCCCAACGCCCAGGCAGAATATGGCGAATTCCCAGCCTTGGGTCTTGGAAAAATCACAGATTTCTCGCAGGTTCAACGTACGCTCACGGATTTGAACCTTGCTGTGCCCGAGAAGGACTGCGTCTCAGATGATCCCATCCAGCTCACAATATATTCGCCCAACGTTCCAGATCTTTCAATGATCGATCTACCAGGTTATATTCAAGTTGCAGGCCATGACCAACCGCCCGAGCTCAAGCAAAAGATTGCAGACCTTTGCGACAAATACATCCAGCCACCAAATGTCATCTTGGCTATTTCTGCAGCTGATGTCGACCTGGCAAACTCTACAGCACTCCGATCCAGTCGCCGTGTCGATCCCCGGGGTGAACGTACTATTGGTGTGATCACAAAAATGGATCTTGTCAGCCCTGAACGTGGACGCGACATACTTTCTGATAAGAAATACCCCCTTCGCCTGGGTTACGTGGGTGTTATCAGCCGCATCCCTCAGACAAATGCTCTTTTCTCCAGAGGTTCCGGGAACATTACCAGTGCTATCCTCAAGAATGAGCATGCGTACTTCTCTGCGCATCCAACTGAATTTGGGCCGCACTCGGAAGTTTCAACTGGTGTCTCGAATTTACGAAAGACGCTTATGCATGTTCTTGAGCAAACTATGGCATCCAGTTTGGCTGGCACGAGAGATGCAATCAGCCAAGAACTTGAAGAAGCAACCTATGAATTCAAGGTTCAATACAACGACCGGCCTTTGAGCGCAGAGTCCCACTTGGCCGAAAGTCTCGATGGCTTCAAGCACTCTTTCAAGGCCTTCGCCGAAGGCTTCGGTCGTCCACAGGTCCGTGAGATGCTCAAAGCAGAACTGGACCAGCGGGTCATGGACATCCTGGCGCAGCGTTACTGGAACAAGCCGGTTGAGGACCTAGATCCCCCAATGCTGGAGTTGGACCCCCTCAAAGATCTCCCAAAGGCAGACCCCGAGGCTCTCTATTGGCACCGCAAACTAGACGCCTCTACTTCCTCGTTGACAAAGCTTGGAATTGGTCGGTTGGCCACAACTGTTGTTGCCAGTGCTCTTAACAACCATGTGGACTCCCTCCTGGCATCCTCGACATTCGCATCTCACCCTGGCGCTCACAAGCAGATTACTGATGCTTGCACCAGTATTCTCAACGACAGATTCTTCAGCACTAGTGACCAAGTGGAAAACTGTATCAAGCCTTACAAGTATGAGATTGAGGTCGAAGATCCCGAGTGGGCCAAGGGTCGAGACAATGTGGGCCGAGTTCTCAAGGAAGAGCTCAAAGCCTGCGAATCAGCAATGAAACACGTGGAAGATACTATTGGCAAGCGCAAGCTGAAAGATGTCATAACATTCATTGACAAAGTGCGCAAGGGCGATGTTGTACTAGAGGGCAATGGCGAGGGTGGTGCGGGTGGTTTCAGCGCCGCCTTGCTGGAGAGAGGTAAGCTCCTGGTCAATATTTTTCTTTGACAACCAAACGCTAACGGGTACAACAGGACGAGAGGGTCTTTTCCTCCGTGATCGCGCAGATCTCATTAAGATGAGACTGCTGGCCGTTAGATCCAAGCAATGTGCCTCACAAAAGAACAAATACTACTGTCCAGAAGTGTTCCTGGACGTGGTGGCCGACAAACTCACCTCAACGGCAGTTCTCTTCCTTAACGTTGAGCTCCTCTCTGAATTCTACTACAACTTCCCTCGCGAGCTAGATTCGAGACTTGGCCGACACCTTTCCGACGCTGAGGTTGAGCGATTTGCCCGCGAGGACCCTCGAATCCGCCGTCATTTGGATATAATCCGCAAGAAAGAGTTGTTGGAGCTGGCTCTGGAGAAGATCGAGAGTATTCGACAACTTGACGGCCGCAGTCGAAAGTCTGAGCGTCCGCCTCCTGGAAAGGAAACACGCAGTCGCTGGAACTTGTTTTAGAAGTATAGCACGGAACTTGTGTTCCCCTTGTTCTCGCGCACGTATTTTTTGTGTTTGATTTTCGATACCTCCTCTTGCTAGTACTCTTCATTCTTTTCCCTTCGGTTTGGCCATTTTCTCCGCTTCTTCACCGTGTTGGACTGTTCGTTTTATCTTTGATATCGAGGCCGATCCATGGATGTATGTACATAATCAATCTGTCAGTGATCAATTTTCTCTGGGGCTGTAGTATTAACATAATGTCCTACACTTGCCGTCTCACAATCCATGTTATTCGAAAGAGCACCGCCGATCTCAAAAACTAAATCAAGACGTCCTGGAGTCTCAAAGGACATGATTTGCAACTTTTACCCCAAGTGTGCCTGTAGCCCTTCCACGGGTACACTAATCCCCATATAAGTATGTATCTCTAGAGCTAGCATGGAACAAGCAGCTAAAAAGCGCAGCGCAACCAGTACACCAAAAAGCGGGAGGCTACAAATCATGCAATTCGAAGGTTGAAGCCTAAATATTCAACATAGTTACGTATTTATACATGTACAGGAGACCAATCTTGACGGGCCCCGAAAAAACAAAATTGCCAAACATAATGAAAGCCAAATCGATCACCGAATCTACCAAAGCCTGTTCTCGGGCAAGACCTTCTCCTTCTTGACACCAGCAGCAGACTTGCGCTCCTCAGAAGAGCGGAAGAACAAACTGGGACCCTCAAGCGGCTTAAGCAGGTGCGCCAGGTATCCCCGGTGCGCAGGGTCACGGTAGTATTCGATATCGCGACGCTTTGTAGGATCCGGCAGGCGGAACGCCTTGTGGTTGCGTTCCAGCAAGGAATGCCAGTGCTTCTTGTTTGGCCCGACCTGCGCCATACGGTACAGTTCCTCGGAGCCACTTTCCCGTGCCCATTGACCAGAGAGGAAAGTGTGTGTTTTGCCATCGAGGATCCGACGGATGGAAGAAGGGGTATAGTAGCGAGTAGTGACGGAACCGCCAGCAGCTTCGATGGCGGCGATTGCGGAGGCGGAGGCACGGGAGGCAACGACGTGAATGGGTTGCTTCAAGGCTGAGGCACCGTCGCCGAGAATCTTGAGGCCGTCAATGGGTCGGCTGATGCAGCCGCTGTTGTAGAGTTCTTTCATGGTGATTGGGGCTGTGGAGGAGAGGCGGCCTTGATCGATCCAGGATTGCACGCGGTCAAGGTTGACGGTGGCCATGTCGACAGAGAAGCTAGAAGGGTCAGATTGGGGGTCGGTGGTAAGTGCAATTGACATCTTACATGTTGACACCGCCACGCTCGCCGTGGACGATGATTTCGGGCGTCTGTCCACCATTGAAGCCGGCGGGGACCTTTCCGTGCTGACCTTGACCCTTGTGACCACGACCGGAGGTCTTACCCTTGCCGGAGGCGGGACCACGACCTCGACGGATACGCTTGTTGTAGGCTGTCGGGTTGTCGGAGAGGGAGGCTAGGATGTGAGCATTGCGGGTTTGCTGGAGTTGCGGGAGCAGGAAAGCGAGGGGAGATGTCTGTTGGAAAGGCCGGGCGGCGATTTTTGTAAGCTGCGAAGGCAGCCCCATCAGCCGGGGAGACATGTTGGTGGATTTGTGATGTTCTGCTACTGCTGCTGCTTGGTTCGCGGGTTTGCGATGGTTTCGAGATCTTTCGGGGCGGATTAAATTTTGTCCGTGTGCCCTAACTTGTTGCCGTTTCCCCAAGGACATTCACAACATTTCAGGTCTACAACGTAATACTATATGAATATCATTGCTCAATTCTTCCTTAATCAAAATTCTGGCATCTTAATTGCTGTATGGTCATCAACAGCCTCAATGCATATGAAACACAACTCGTGTAAGTTTTTCCAGTGTCCAGGACAATATACGGAGTACAGCTCCCCTGTCCCCAGGTTCATCTCGGAGATCCTTCAAAAGCATTCAAGTAGTAACACCATGGGCGTTTTGGGGCTCCACATCCTTCAAAACTACAACCTTGAAATATATTGGGCAAAACGAGTACCAAAAGTAATAATCTAAAGTTCGTAATTTGATGCAAAGCTAGCACTAAAGCTATGTTAAGGACGCCACAGATATGCGAATGCAACAGCAATGCCAAATGCCCTGAGGCAGTGACGATAAAAGAACAAGTGAAAACAAGGACAACGCCACATGTGTCGCCCCCGAAGTTAGAGTCGTCTGCAGGGAGACCAAGACCAATCCGTCTAATATGAAGCGCCAGAAGTATGCTAAACAAAATTCGTAAAAGTGAAATGTGTACAGGGGAAGACAAGTAGGGGAGAGAGAGAGAGAGTAGGAAAGTTGAGGTGTACAGCGAATGACATGGTTTTGCGTCTCGTGTGTCGGGTCGTAGCGCGGTCAAGTCGTAAGGTGTGAGGTGAGTAGGGGAGAAAGATCAACCAGCGTAGCTCGAGGGTGGGTAGATGGGCTGCAGATAAGGAGGGTTCCACGCATCAGGCTGGATATAGGGCAAAAGACCCGTCTTGCGGGAAGTGGAACCCTTCCCAAGAGGCTGGTAGTGCATGTGGTCGAAGGGAACACTGCGTTGCTGCTGCAGAGAGCTCGATGGCGGCGGGATCAGCAAGGTATTCACCGAGCGCACAGGTCGATATGGCGAATTGCGATTGGCTAGGAAGAAGGAAGGGGAGAGATGGTTTTGAGGAGTGTGGGCGGAGTAGGCTGAAACAGCCGGGGAGACGGCGGCAGAAGATACGCCAAATGAGGTTGGGTGTTGCCTTCCAAGCTCGGGCAAACTGGGCGCACTGTATGTGCCGGATTGCATTTGGGGAATGGAGAGAGGAGGCATTTGCTGCCAGTTTTGAGGGCGGTGGTACATTGGAGGCATGATAGCTGGAAGGTGTGAAGGCGTAGAGGAAGGAAGGGTTAGAGGCGTAGAGTAAGAGTTCTGAAGATGAGGCGGTTGGTGAGGAGGCGGGAGACGAGAAATGTTGCTCATCGGTGCCACTGGGGCCGAGGTGGGAGTCAAGACAGGTGGCAGAGTGGGCATCGCGGTCATCGTAGTTGTCGGGACCGTCATGGAAGGAGCAGAGGTGGCGGATGACATTGCGACCCGTTTTGATGGGTGCATGTCGACATTGTCGTCGCGGCTGCGCTTCCGGGGTCCTCCCAGGGCGGGCTCCCCGCTCAGTGGCTGTGGTGGCATAGAGTATGGTGGCAGTCCGTTCAATGGCATACACCAGTTGGGCTGCGACTGGGGGCGGAGATCACTGCTAGGTGACGGCAACTTGGAAGAAGGCGATTGCGATTGCAAACGAGGAGGCGAGACACGGAGAGTGGCGGACTCGATTGGAAGCATGGAAGCTTGGTTGAAGTAATCGGCGAAGAGGCTCAGCTTGTTGTGCCACTTGTTCCACTCTGCCTCCGAGGAGAAAAGATCATAACGGATGTTGCTCAAGAACTCCACCTCCATGATGTGAATCTCGTGTACTGCAATGCCGGATACCTCAGCCCACGTCTTATTGGTGTAAGTGTTATCGTCAAGAACTGTGATGATGTCAGCACCGGAGTCCAATCAGGTGGCGAGGACCAGGAGCGGTCAATTCGATAAGCAACACTCACATTTATTGCCGAGCATCAACGCAACCGTCATCAACCGGAACTCACTCCCCTTCTTGCCCTTGACGCCCGAGTTGAACTTCTTCAACCGGTAGATAAACAGCAGGGCGAGCAGAATGACGTTTTGGCTGACTTGGGTCGTGGATAGAATCGTAGAAACCCATTTTTGGAATCCAACGGTGGGGAATGCCTCCGCGACGAGAGAAGGAACGGGGCGCTGGTGATCTTCGATGGCTTGTAGCTTGGAAGTCTTCTCAAACCAGAAAAGACATGTCATCTAGCAAATCTCTAGTTAGTTGATGCCCCCACATGCCACCTAGAGAGATCGTGAATCCATACCTGGGCTGCAAATTCTGCCAGGTTTCCCTTGCTGTTATTTATAGACGAGGGGATGCGAAGTTGTGATCCTCTTGAGCTGGTCGATTTTTTCTGAGCCACCGGTTCTGATGCGGGGGCGTCTCTGGCCGGTGCCGCATGGCTCTGGGGCTTCATGGCAGCCATCATCGAGGACGAAATGGAATCGAAAGGCCGTGGGTTGGCGTAGAGATGAGCCGGCATCCCATTCGGTTTCCCACCATAAGTAATGGGTGGCATCGCATTGTAGGTTACTCCAGTCATGTCGCTAGGAGGGGTTGGCAGACCGCTCCGCAAAGGAACCGTCGAAGAATCCAGGGTGGCCTTCAGGTTACTGTCGATTGGAGCCAAAGTCGGAAAGGAAGAGAAGTTCACAGATGAAGACATAAGGAAAGAGCAAGTAGGCCAGTCGACACATTAATGTTTCAAGCAAAGAAAGGCGTCGAAAGGGACCGAGTTTCATCCATGTTATGACAAGCAAAGAAATCCAATTGGAATGCAATGAAGGGGAATAAAGGTGAAGAAGAAGTGAATATAGGTCTTTCAGGGAGTGATGTATATAGAATAGTCACGATAGGCCCATATAAGGAAGGCAGAGAGATATAGAAAGATCTCTCTATCCACTTTGGAAAAAAAAAAGAAAGAAATAATATCTAATAAAAATGGTAAAAAAAAAAAAAAAATATTGAAATTTCCAAAATAAAAAAAAAAAAAAACGGTTCAAATAAAATAAGTCAAGGCATCATCTCCCAAGTCCCGGAGATGGAGAGTGAGAGAGAGAGACCACAGAGTTTGACCCGGACGCAGGTCCAGGTTGATCCTCCTTTCTGGGCTCGTTTGGATTCCGGTTTGGTTGGAAAATAATAATAAAAACCCCATTTCCAAAGGGAGAAATACTAATACCGGTTGATGTCAGAGCCACGGGGATGTGGTCACAGGTGGGTGCAACTAGAAAGGGTAGGTCGCAGAATGTTTAGCTGGTCCCGGCCTTCACTACTATTAGCGCAGACTAGTGGAAGCAAAAATTGATTGGGAAAACAATAATACAAAGGGAAATATCTTTGGGTACCCCACGTCCAGGCCTATATCAGATCCAATAATAAGGCCAATAAATTACTTGCAAGGAAAAAGGGCTAAAGGGGGAAGCGCGGAGGTTTGAGCACAGTGGCTGATCGCTAGAGGACTTAGAGGAATGGGCGGAAAAGCAAAGTCAAGGGCGGAACAAGCCAATCACCTAGGGAGGAGCAGAAGATCACTTACCGGAACGAGGCAAATCGAGAGAAAATTAAAGCGAAAAAAAAAGCGAAAAATGAGTGAAAAGAAGTGAAAAGGGAACCGGAAGGCTCGGTAACCTTGGAAAGAATGGTACATTCTTATGTAAGGCAAAAATAGATTACCATGACGGCTCACTTACGGAGATTACGGGAATTACGGAAATTACGGAGTGCCGAACAGTCTCAAACCAATCAGTGATCTTTCAAAGGGCTGAGACGCCACTGAGAAACCACAGGGAAACCACCGAGGAAACCACTAAGAGCCTCTCGAGGGTATCTTCTGCTCCACCCAAAGTACGAAAAGTCTCACTTCCTAAGAGGCTGGGCATACTCGTATCTCTCTCCCTCTCTCGGTCTTTGTCTTTTCTGCTAAATTCATCCCGTGTACGACGGGTCCATGGTATACTGACTCTTTGGACCTTTGCCATGGCACGGTTACGTGATCTAGTACTCCCCGAGCCCGTTTCGCTTTCGTTTATATGAACGCGTCTTTCGCGTTCGCTTGACCGGACCTCCTCCGACTTTCCGGTTTATGGGTTTACTAAATTACTGGGCTGCGTTGCTGGGCTGGGTCTTTCAGGGGCTTAATTCTCAACCTTGGAAGTTTGATACCTCAGCGGGAGAGAACTGGATATCTGGCTTCTGATTCGTGCGGCACTTATGCGCTGGACTTCCCCCCCAGGATTCCACAGTCTATTGGCTACAGGTCGCACGGCGTACTCTGTATGCATACCTGGTAACTTAGGTGTCGGTATTTGTGTCCCGTCCAAGCGCCCCCCCCTGTGTTAAGCCGAGGAGTGGCATACCGTGCACACGCTGTGAGGGCCGTTTCACTCGCTCCGGCCAGGCAAGACGTAAGGTAGTGAGTTGCACTTGTGATCTCAGAGAGCCGAAAAGGTGCCCAGATCGGCTGGAATTGGATTCCATCGGCTACTTCGTGGCGTACCATCCTTTTCCTACACAGGTCGCAGCCAACCATTCAGATTACGGACACCGTGGAAGTCTACGGAATTGTCCACTTTCCCGGCCTACGCCGTATCCTGTCCAATGTACTCGCTGTAAGCACGGAGGACTATACTTGGTAGCTTGACCTACTCGTAGACGCATGCAATAGACATTGGACTATCCACCCACCTCTCTTCAAACCTTCATCTCCAAGGGATCATCGGGGGACTGTGAGAGACAGTGTATCACGCCACCAATTCACGTCCGAAACCAGCGGCCTGGGTAACGTCCAGACTTGACGATCCAATTTCACAGCCTGACGGCAGGAACTTGCTACTCATACATAGGAGGTTGATACTCCGGCGAGAGGGGATCGGGAGAGAAATTCGATATCGTAAAAATGATTTTACTCGTACAATCCTCCACTTTCCGGGCTTTCTGAGCCACCGCCACGGAAGGTGTTGCGTTTCCAGAACCCCGGACAGAAACCAAGGTGGATCGCAAGGGCAAAGAGCCCACCTGGTCACCGGTGTTGGAGGCATCATTGGTCATTTTCGTTTCTTTTTTGAAAGGTCATTGATCTTGGGACTGGAGACAGGTTTAAATTAGAGGCGAGCGGTGATTGGTTGCAAGTACTACAGCAGTCCGTCTGGGGCTACTTTGGGAAAAGGGCGTGTTCGCCCGTCACAGTCATACAGAACTCAGCCAGCTCGCTTCAAAGGTTGGGGTTCGACTGGGTCTTGTTTTTGCGGTTGCCCCGGAGCTTTTCCTTTTTGTTTCTCATTCCCGTCCCTCGATCTGCATTTGCTGACTTTCAAATTCTCGATGGCAATTGGCCAGTCTCACTCTTCCGCACGTCCTTCTCTTTGGTGGGTCGAAAATAGAAAAGGAGTCTGCCATCCCGGATGCGGCACTTCATTTCGAGACTCACCTTTGTGCCTCTCCATATTACCTACGGGTACGGAGTATTCGTACGGAGAGAGGTTTGCTCCACACAGAGTTTTACCTATCGCCTTTCAGACTCGGCTCAGTGCTATGTACGGAGTCGTCGTCAGACTCGCCTTGTTTCCATCTGTTAAAATTTCCACAAAAAAAAAAAGGAATCTTTCGGCCCTTGGAAGGATCAGGTCTGGAATGAGGTATCCCTGCCCTAAACATTGTAGAATACCCAGGTTCCCACCGATGATCCCTCGTAGGTGGGTTGTACCCTCGACCATTGGCGCATGCAGGACTGCGACCGCCATCGTGATACCCCCGTCATCGGCAAACTCACGAAATTGAGGGTACGTCGTATACAACGTACATCGTCCGGGCGAAGATGCACACGGAATGCATCCCATGGAGAAAATCATCCGGGCCCCATCTCGTATGTACGTTTACATGGTCTTTTCGATCCAAGTCTCAGGTCACCAGATGTCTGTGAACAAGGCTTTGCACTTTGCAGAACCACCCTTTCCTCCTGATTGGTGGCAACTGGATATCTAGTAAAGTTTTCGGTACAGTTTGTGGTGGGCAGTGTTCGGAAGACATCGAAACCCTGCTGAATCCTTAATAATGGGGGTTGGAGCGGTCCAACTGAGCAAAGCTGAAGTCGATCGCTTACTTGCACCCACTCGTTCCGTATGTATGAGCACAGGTCTAGGGGCTGTCATATCTCTGCAATGCGTGTAGCAGCTATATTGGTACAACGGATAATATACTCCGTACAAAACTCCCCCAACCGGCTTACGCCGTCCCATCACAAGGATGCGTAGGTTGTTTTTGTGGCTATATTAATTACGCTGACACCCAAGTTTCTCTTGATCATTACACAGCGGGGCATGGATTCCGATACACGCCTTCTGCGCCCGGCATCTGCTACCTACTTCAATATGAGCAACCGTACTCCGTGGTTTGTACTCCGTAGTTACTCCCTTTGCCCTCGCTAAGGTACGGAGTAATTTCCAAAATAAAACAAAAAATAAAAACAAAAACCCTTGGTCCTTTTTCGACGTAACCTATCTCATGCGGCGACAAGAAAGAGTCTACTCCATACGGAGTACACCTTGTTCAAGGCGAAAGCATACAGCGGATCTCAACGCCGTGTTCAACCACCTTACTCCGTACTGTCTAACTGACCTAGCACGGCTCCTTGCATTTTTCCACATCCTTGCGGCTAGGTTCTCGCGATCGAGCGATTCCCGAGGTCGTGATGTGAACATTAAGCACAGTACTCCGTACTCCGTATGGAGTAGTTAGTATAATCGGGATTCGTATTTGCTCCAATACCACACTTCTGACTTTCATTTCACTTATCACAACGTACAAGTGTTTCGTTATCCCACTCAGTCCCACTCAATCCACGGTAATACATTATCACAATTTTGTGCATATGTCATGGCCAATTTCCGTCTGCGCCGAGGCAGGCTTGTGGATGAAAGAAATACACGAAGTAGTTAGTTACTCCGTACGGGGTACAGTAACTACGAGCACAGAGGCCTCCGGGCGGGTAGTGTACGAGTAGGGCTGCAATTAATCTTCCTGGCGTCATTTGATCCACTTCCGGGGATGAAGGAGACGGCAAACAATTCCTAGGATCGCCACCTCAGCTGGTCATAGATGGAAGGATCCTAATTTCTTGGGGGGTTTTGTTTCGGCGGTGTGGTTGTTAATTTCCATGTACGGAGTATGGCTATTACTACTAGTTAATTAGGCCCAACAACAGGGGTGGAAGTTCGTGGAACTAATTGGTCCGTGATTCAGAACTGCAGATCTGGTCTTTGAGCTTGGAGCCGAAGTTATAGATCACGGCAATAATACGAGTATCTAATCTTCACTTCTCTGACGTAGATGCGAGAAAGTACGGGTACGTGGTGTAAACACCTAAAACACCTAAAAAAACCAAAGAATCTAAAGACGCGACTGTTCGTGCGAGACTGCTTGGCATTGCGATCCATGGATCTCTCTCTGTGTACTCCGTACTTCGTACGAGCACTCCGTAGCGCCGGAGCCTTTGCTGTTCTTCCACGATCAGACATTGTATGCACGCCACGGGTTGCCTTCTGGTGTTTAGACCAAATGACTGCAGCCGCCTCGACCCAAGTGCGCTTTGAGGACAAATGCAAATGCAAATGAGCTCAGGGAGCCTTGGGCCGTGTGACAAAACATAATCGCGATCCATCAGTTGAT